GCCTGTATTACCAGCCCCCTCCCAAGGCGCAGGGATCATCATGGAAGAAGGACCGGAAAGAACATAAGAGTCAAATGTAGCTTTTAAAAACTAAACTAACCCGAGGATCTGACAAATGACAGAGGAGCTCTTTCTGGTAAAGCTCACACACGTTCATAGTCTTGCTATGTGCAAAAATCCCACAGGAACGACAGAGTCACTAGAAACCTTTTTGCTTTTGTTTTTCAAGAAATGGCTTCTCTGCATTGCTTTGGAGGTTTTCCTGTAACGCGCTCTGTAGACCAGGCTGGCCTTGAACTCACAGAGATCTGCCTGCCTCTGCCTCCTGAGTGTTGGGATTAAAGGCCTGAGCCACCAACGCCCGGCTAGAGTCACTAAATATTTTACACAAAAATCTGCTTGCTTTCTGGATTGAGCAGTGACAGGGGAAATTCCTCTTCCTTAGGATGCATGCCTGATTGTGGTAGAACGTTATTTTCAGGTGTATTACTTGTGTTCATGCTGCATTTGTTTCCACTCTGAGAAGCTGTGATTCTTTGCCTGTCTAAAACACCTGATGGTCCTAATAAAGAGCTGAATGGCCAATAGGGAGGCAGGAGCGAGGGAGGATAGGCTGGCTGGGCAGGCAGAGAGGATAAATAGGAGAACAGAGGAGGAGGAGCAAGGAGAGCAAGAGATGAAGGAGAGGAGGGTGTCAGGGGCCAGGTACCCAGCCTGCTATGGAGTAAGGAGGAAAGCAAGCTATAAAGAAGTAAGAAAGATAAAAGCCCCGAGGGAAAAGGTAGATGGGCTAATTTGAGATAAGAAAAGCCAAGCTAAGGCACTGGTAACTAAGAATAAGCCGCCCTCCGTGTGTGATTTATTTGGGAGCTGGGTGGCGGGCCCCTCAAAGAGACAAAAGAGCCAAACCATAGCATAGCACCCATTGTCAGGGAGGTTCGATGATTCATAAATATGATACACAGATTCAGAAAATGAAAAGCTGTGATTAGAAGGAAGCGCCTCCTACCTAATGTCAAGTCCTAAACTCTGTGACCCCTCCCCCACAGTCTCGAGAATGTGAAGGCCTGCTTTAGCCCTGGAGTCACCTTTGTGAGCACTGGAGAAGAGCATCCCTTGTCAAGACATTTTACTGCCATCTGCTGGGAGAGACGTGCCATGCTCCTTGTGTGCCTTCAGCGGGGTGGACTGGTGGGTGGCACCCCTTAGGCTTCCTGCTTGTCCACCCCTTGAGCCCTGAGCTCTGCCAGGGGAAAGCAATGGAAAGCAGTTTCGAGCTTCGTCCTTTTGAAGGAAGGAAGGAAAATGGATCCACAAATTTCTTTTAGAACTGGAGTAGAACCAGTTTCTGCAAATTAATTATCTCTTCCCCCAAGGAGCTCCCATTCTGCAATTGTGAAAACCAAGGTTGAATTCAATTCTGACATGATTGTGCTAGATGGGGTACAGGGGCTGCAATGTAGTAAATGGTCCATATGGGTGTGAGTTTCACTGCTGTGAGTGTCTGCTAGAACCAGTTTCCTCCCTGAAAATGAAGATAACAGCCAACACCTAGTGGCATGTCTTGTATTAATTAAAGGGTGGCGCTTGGTGCCACACAATCAGCAGCTATATTAACTGCCGTTGACTCCGGAGGTGATATTAATTATTCATACCATTTCTGTGATCTCGTGTTCTCCCCAATCCACAGAAAGATTGTTATTCTAGTTTTCTATGGAAAAGTCTTATAATCACCAGTTCCGAGAAGTTTCTGTGCCACAGAGGTAGACCAGATGCCGGATCACACGCACCCCAGTGAACAGGCACCGTGTGGCCGAGGGCGGGGTCAGTCCCAGGCTGAGGTATGGCTTAAACCGGTCAAGATACTCTACTTTCACACCCAAACTCAGCCTGATGCCACTCTGGAAGTCTTATGGATGGCTGCTGATGCTACTGAATTAATGCCATAAGGGAGCAGCAATCTTAGAATAAGCATGAATAGAAGAATAGAATGGCTTTTTACTCCTCCACCCAGATCCCTGTCCTACTGACGTCTCGGTGACTTCAGCAGGAGAAATGGGCAGCTCAGAGAATCAGCTCCTGGACCCCATCTGCTGGGTTGTCGGAATGGAGAAGGGCACTGGGCATGTGTGTAGAAGAGCCTTGCAGCCTGGAGGAGCCTCTGCTCCAAGCACCACACACAGTGCTGACACAGGAAACAAACTAAGCCTTTTCTGTCTAGCATCTGTTTACACAAATTCTGACCAGGTGGCAAACCCTTCCCCCCTGCTCTTGAGCAACAGGATACAGGACAGGGAACACCTGTCCCAAAAATGCACCGATTAGCTGGAAGTTGACAGGTAGATCATGGGCCCGTGGCCACACTCCAGGCATGGTCCTACCACCTATCAGCCATTGGCTCTGCTCCTGATCTTGGCTCTAGACCAATTCCAGGGCTAATGGGATTGATCCATGGGCATACATCTTAAAACTCTAGCTGGAAAGTGAGAGGTTATTTTCCTTGAGGCCACTACAGTGTGCTGCTGCTATCTAGATGCAAATACTTCTAAATGGCACAGGGTACCAGAGGCATAGGCATGTGTGTGATGCTCTTCACCCTCAAGCAGCTCCCGGGAAGTGGCCCACTAAGAGGACTGTGCAAGTACCAGCTAGTGAATGCATTGTGAGCAGCAATGTAATTTACATATGCGGGGTTGCTTGAGGGAGGTAACGATAAGCCAAGCTGGCATTTATGTGTTCCTTGGATGAACAGAAGCAAAACTTCATGAGAAGCCTAGAGGAGAGATGGAAAAGTGGGCAGTGAGGGAACTGTGGGAGGGGGGCATCCTGGGTGAAGGGAGCTGCAGGTGGGTCTGGCTGAGGAGGAGTCTGTCTAGGATAGAGGGGTCAGAAGCCCCATGAAGAATAAACAGTATGCGGCATGGGGCACTGGAGATGATGCTAAAGGAAAAGGACAGAACTCAGTGAAGAAGGGAAGGAAGAATCAAGTCACCATGTAGCTAATCGATGTGGGAGGGCCTGGTGAGATGCCGATTTGTCATCAAACAACCCCAGTGGGACAACACGTCACAGCTGTCTATCACAGTCTGGAGACTCCGGGGTGTCTCAGCCATGGTCGCTCAACCGGACAGATGCATGCAGGCCAGCTCATCTAGCTTTCTAACAATAGAACTCTCACCCAGAGAGGCTGTCATATTAAAATGTTTCCTGATCAAGAAGCTGTTAGTTTACTAAAACACCAATCTAATGTGATTCAGGACAGTTAAGAAAAGGAAATTCAATGTGCCTTTTGTTCCTTATAGTTACAAAAGTTAGGGGCCATCACGAGTGTAAGTTGTGAGAGAATAGTCAATCTCTATTAAAAAAAAATAAATCAGTTATAGAACATTAGAACCCAGGAGTGACGCTGGGAAGCTGGCCGCTAAAAGAATTCAGTGTGTTCTCAAAAACTGCTGCCTGAGTGAAGGCATCACTGAGAAATGTTCTAAATTCAGTGGTTCATAAATTACACCTCCTGGAGGTCGCCCTGTGCTTTGCACAGTAACTTCTGCTCTGGAGAGTGACCTGTTGTAGATGTGAATGCAAATGGGATTCCAGTTTACTCAGCATGTACCATGCTCCATGGATAGATGTTAGAGGATGGATGGGATTCCAGTTTACTCAGCATGTACCATGCTCCATGGATAGTTGTTGGAGGATGAGTGCATCAATGAAGAGGATCATGAAGTGGTTTGAACATGTGCTGCACGTGCATCTATCGCCTACAGAGACCAGAAAAGGCAAGCAGGTCCCTTGGAACTGGAGTTAGAGTCATGAGCTCTCACGTGGGTACTGGGAACCAAACTTGGTCCTCTACAAGAGTAGCAAGTATTCTTAACTGTTCAGCCATCTCTCCAGCCCACGGAACTGAATCTTAAAGTGGGGGGAGGGGATAAAAAGCTAAGTTTTCTTCTGACCTCCCTATATCTTATTTTCCTTGCACCAAGAGAAGCATAAAAATGTCAAGGGGCGTGGAAAAGGATAAATATGTTGGGGTGTGTCAAGATTCTGGAGTTCCTGGGAGAGGAACTTCGAGTTTAAATTTCATGATTATAAGCTACTTGTAAATCAGTCACACCTTTAAACAAACACTTGTGATGACATCTTCACTATTCTCAAACAGAAGAAGGGACAAGTCATGTGCCCATCAGCAAACTTCTGTCAATTCACCTGGCCTGGTGCCCACTGGGGCTCAGTGTGGGCAAATACAGAATCCGAGTTTATTGAGGTTGCGTGGTGTGAGCTGGAGGTATGTGTTTCTGCAGGGAACTGAACAGGGGTAGGGATGGCATGGATGCCATCTTCCTCTGTCCATCCAAAACCTGGTAACTCAGACTCTAGGAGAGAAGGTGGAATGGAGAGAAAATAGTGGATATGAAGCTTTTTAAAGTTTGTTATGCTTTTTGTAGGAAGTTCTTACATTTTTAATACCATACTTCTCATGTTATCATTGCAAACATATTGCTCTACTTAGAAAATGCAAATCAAGTCTCCCCCCAACCTCAATAAAGGGAAGAGGAATGAGAATAGAAGCTATTGATTGATTCTCTTGATATTGATACAGATATCTAGATTATCCTGGATTCTCGACATAGAAAAGTCTACAGAACATACAGCTTTCTGCATGTTATGTACATACAGTTAAATACAGAAAATAATACCCAAAGCAATGTTTACTGCAATATGTAAAATGACTAGTCACTAGTCACTGGAGAAAGAAACACATTACTATATGGGATGATGCAGACTCATGATATCTGTCATGATTTTTTTTAAATCATTACACTGCCAATCTACACCTAGGCTTGGGCATACTTGGAAGAACACATCAGAAATATGACAGGAATGAGCAAAGAAACTAAATCTGTAACTTCACATAAGTTAGAAGCCAGGCTTTGTCATCGAACAATAGCATTTTTATTATATGAGGCTACTACATGTTTTTTAAATAATATTTATCCAATAAGAGAAGCTGCATTTATGCCGAGTCATAGTGCAGAGGCCATGCTAACCTTCTCTGTGTGGTTCCAATTTTAGTGTACATGTGGCTGAAGAAAGTACAAGCACATTCTTACTTGCATGCAGGACACCAACTCTTGGAAGTCCCATTATCTCTCATTCTGTACGGCTTAATTACTTCTTCCCAGGATGGTTCTTCTTCAGCTGTCTTCACTTGGTCAACTTAGTCACTAAACTGCTAGTCTCCTAAGCCAAAATCTTGAAACATCTCTTCCTTCTCTTGCTTTTATCCTCAAGACCAGAGCATGTCCCCATTAGAATTTGGGAAGGAAAATGTATTAGTTACTTACAAAAAGCAACCTAAAGATGGTGAGGTTACTATGGCTTGGGGTTGGAAGGGATGCAGTCCATCACGAGAAAGAAGGCATGGAAACAGGTGTCTCCATGGTGGCAGAGTGGACCAGAAAGCAGAGATCCTCCAGGTTTGACTCTTGGCTGCCTTCCCCCCCCCACCCCCTTGATTCATCCTGGAGCCCCAGCAGAGGGTATGGTTCCACCCAGATTCAAAGCTGATCTTTCCGACTCACTTAATCCTCTTTGGAAAAGCTCCCCACCCCCATACACCCAAAGGCATGCCCTAGGTATCCAAGTTAACAAGCAAACTTTGTCATCACAGGAAACCTGGGGTTCGCTTTTGGGGAGTCCCCTTAACTCCCAGGCCTTGTTTCCCCATCCTTCCCTTTGTCCTCCAGGAGTTTCATCTGAATTCAACTTCTATAGATGCTCAGGGCACCCAAGGAAGACTAGATGAACACATTATCCATGTTGTCCATTGTTACCATGACAAACTTATTTCTTTGAATTTTTAAGGAACAGTTTCTGGGGCAACACTGCCTGGGGTGAAACCACATAACAAGTATTTCTACTGAGTGGTCATGGATAATACAGGCAGGTTTCCGTAAGTGGGTAAAATTGTAATACCAGGTATTTCTACTGAGTGATCATGGATACAGGCAGGTTTCCGTAAGTGGGTAAAATTGTGACACCTAACTTTGAGTTGATGAGGACAATTCTGAAATGGCCCTGCAAATGGTGGCTGGGTGGCTGTTACATATTGATTACCCCTTCTGTCTCTGTTCTCATCATAGGGCTGTCTTAGGACCACATCACTCTAGACCACCGTTAAGTCTAAATGAGCCGACTCCCTGATTTGGCAGCCCTTCCCTTGGAATACTGAGCACTGCACACACAAATATAAGAAACAGTCCTTATGGACTTTAGAGGAGTTAGAGAGGGGAGATGAATATGATCAAAATGTATTGTATGAGATTCTCAGAGAATTAATAAAAATACTATTTTTGAAAAAGGAAACTTTTTGTTCTTAAGAATGTAGGTCCAGTGTATCCGATAAACATAGATAATTACAGGGCAATAGTGGAATGAGCTAATACTGTTGAGCCCTGGGTCATCTGATGTCATTTCTTTCTCCTTTCCCAAAAGTAGGGGCAAAAGAAAGGCGAATAGTAAGCATAATGCGTAGTGTCTGTCATTACATGCCGGTGATAGATAGACCTGGATCAGATAGACTTGCGCTGACTGTATCACACACTGCCTGCAACTGCAGCCCTCTGTGGGAAGCCTGTGTCGCCTGTAGGACACTGGGTGTGAAGGAGTCGAAAGGGGAGACTTGTGAGATAACCCATCCACCTCTCGAGAAAGGGCAAGTCAGCAAGTCCTTCTCGCCCAAGCACACAGTACTGATGAGAAGGGGAAGCGAATCCATAGTCCAGGCTGGTGGCAGAGCCCAGAAGCCAGAGGACTCCCCAACGGACTTCTAAGGACAGACAGGAGAAAGCTAGGAAGAGAGAAAAAGGGGAAGATTGTGTAGGCAGGGGACCGATCAAGGCCAGTAATGTGATCTGGGACCAAAAGTGATTTGATGCTGTCAGAAGTTTAAGTTCGATGGACTCAATGTGGAAGAGGCAAGGCACCGATTCTGGGGGGGAGGGGTAGGCAAGAAAGGAGAGGGTGCTCAGGGTTCCTGCAGCTGTATCTTTGGCGATGGGAAACACTGACAGCTTTAATCAGTGTTTTCAATTGTTCATGTGGCTAAGAAGGAGGCACCAGAGGAGATAATTGAGGAAGATATTCTAGTACTTCAGATACGGACGGCAGGAGCTCCAGTCAAGATTTTTACATCAAATGCCAGCAGAAGTAGATGGACTGGAGGGGTAATTTGGAAATCTGAGAGTGAAACTCAGCAATGCTTTGTTGCTAACTGGGGCTCTTTGTGTGCGTCAGTGACACCACCTTTGTTGTATCTAAGGTCTCGCCACGTGCTAGGCACCATGCCATGTGCTGGATCTACATGCTCTCCCCATGAAGCAGGTAGGTAAACTGAGGTTCAGACGGCGTGTGTCTGTGCAGGCCCAGTGAGTAGCTGACAACAGTCAGAGCTCATGCCTAGACAGCCTGACTCCAAAACCCTTGTAACTAAGACGGCCTCTCCTTCCTGCTGGTTTCCATATGGTCCTGCGCTGTTACTCTGCAGTACCATCCATTGTTAACACCGCTGCTCTGAGCGCTTCTGTCTTTCTGTATTCTACTTTCTTTCTCCCTCACTCCCTGTCCACAATTGCTGTCTCTGGGGCTTTTCTGTCACATACATCCAGAGTCTCGCACCTCAATAACATACTTTTATTTTGTTTCATTTCTGTCAAAAAAAAAAAAAAAAAAAAACCAAAAACAACAACAACAAAAAACAAAACAAAACAAAACAAACAAACAAACAAAAAAAACCCATGGAAAGACAGTACAAGGTAGACCTTGTTGAGGGACATTTTGGTCAAGTATGCCCTTTAGTCATAAATAAATACACAGGGGCTCATATTAACTGTTCCAGCCAATGGACAGGCAGGATGTAGCCAGGCAGGAAGTACAGGCGGGACTACCAGACGAGGAGAATTCTGGGAAGAGGAGCACAGAGATGGAGTCACCAGAGAGATGCCATGTAGCTGCGAAGGAAGAAAGATGTCGGGGCATTCTCCGTTAAGCCAGGACCATGTGGAAATACACGGATTAATAGAAGTGGGCTAACAAGTAAGAGAGAGCTAGCCAATTAGAAGCTCGAGCCACCAGTCAAACAGTTTATGATTAGGATGAGCCCCTGTATGTTTACTTGTGAACAAATGGCTATGGGAATGGGCAGGACAGAAACTTCTGTCAACAAGTAGTGCCCGATGTGAGGCACAAACCCATGACCCTGAGATTAACGTTTCATGCTCTACGGACTCAGCAGACTGAATGGCTGCAGTTTGGCCTTTCTGGGATCATTTCTCCAAAGGCAGCTGCTGTTGTAGTTTGACACTGGGCAAAAGCGATACAAGCCCCAGGGGCTACATAGACCTCTCATGGCCAACAGAAAGACTTTTCACCTTCACTCCCCTACAGTTCTCCTTTTATCCACAATGCACTGGTCCAGAATTGATCACATACGTAATTCAAATTGTTTCATAAGTGTTGGCTTGTATCACTGGATGCAATGGATTTTCCGCGTTCATCAAAGTACTAGACACATAGTAGGTGTCTAACCTGCTGATTAATTAAACCTTGGATTGATCCACAGAAGCTGCACTGGCATGGTTCATGTAAGCCTTGGAAAGAGCTCTTACACATCACTTTTGGGTGGTTAGTTTTGCAATAATATCTATTAAGTTGGTCATCGTTCTCCTTCTAGAACCTGTAAAAGCAGCTGGAATAGACGCTGACATTTTCATAAGAGTCATCAAAAATCTAATGCTGAAGATATTCAAGTCTCATTGCACTGCTCCTGCAACACAAATCTGAGGAGTCTGCACATAATGATGGGACAGACAACGCAGATCCCTCCGCACCACCCTAACAAGACTACTCTTTCCGCCACCACGACCTATTCATGTGAGGCTATACTCATTTGAGCCAAATCTGGAAGACTGGCTTTATTCCATTCATAATACTTCATTAAAATGTAACCACCCGACACTTCCAGCTTATTCTTCAGGTGAATGACTCTCACATCACCTCTCAGGGAAGAGTCAAATGCTTTTTTCACACCACAACACGATTATGCTTTCATTTGATAATGCCTGCAGACTTGCATTTTCTTCTCCTGATTTGGCATCTATGTTGAATTCATTTCTTTTGTCCTCCTGGAGAGGTTCCAGTCATGAATTAAATGCCAAGAGTTCTGCTTTCAGGGCAGTGATTTTTTTTAATCTTTATTTGTAATGACAGCAAAAGTTCTGTGAAAGAGTTCATATGTGCCTCATGCATTTTACAAGCTCAAAGAAAACTGGCATTTCAGAGAAGGTACGTAGCCAGTTACTAGGAAATGGGTTACAACCAAGTGGCCTGTGCAGAGATAGTGCAATAAAGACAAGCTCAATTGACAGTCACCATAACAAAGCAGAAAGGAGACAGTGCAAATGCACGTAAATGGCCCGTTCAAAAGTAAAGGACAGGTTAGGTGGCAGGAATGAGCAGCTTCTGCCCTATACAAACCACGGAATCATTGCATTTAACAAGTGGACTAGGCGAGGTGATGGGTCTCAGCCGAGTTCAACCAAAAGTAAAGGGAAGTTAAGGAAGAAAAGAATTCGCAGTAACATTGCGAAAAACCACTTTAGAAAATCCTATTCACACCCACCATTCCTAAAGACGCACCGTGAGATGCATGACGTGTGCTTGAGAGTATCTGCTGGGCCGTGTACTGTGTGAGCTGTGAAATATGCCGTCTCATTGCAGACATTTCAGAGCGTAGATTGTTTAGTTACATTGCAGCACTATGGCTTCCAAGATGCAGTAAGTAATGGTGCAGGAAGAAAGCAGAGAGAGAAGAAAGTGGGTGGGGAGACATTTCTAGGCACAAACAAAGATACAGCATTGACAAACTGTCAATGTCAATGTAAGCAAGTGTAAATAGAACATAAGCTTGATGGCAGGGTATGTCCATGAGTGTATGTGCCCAAGCCTCTGTGTGTGTGTGTGTGTGTGTGTGTGTGTGTGTGTACAGAGGGGAGAGGACAACCCATGTAAAAAGAAGAGTTGTGGGTTTGGAAGGCCTTCA